GCATGCCCGGCCTGTTCCCACTGCCGGCAGCAAGGCTGTGCGTATGACGACTCCCTGACGGGGAAGCATCTCCTTGGGAAAGGGTGCTTTTCCCTAGGGCGCTGTACAGGTCAGGGATGCGCTCTGTCCTATTCCCCTGGCGCTGGGGGACCCCAGAGGTCCTGATGGATTTCTCAGTTTCTCAAAGCATCTTTATTCATGCCACACATGGGGTAGACACAGCGGCGGGGGTCAAGGAGACTCGGGGTAGGCAGTGGGCACTGATCCCTGTGCCCTGTATACTCTCCCTGCCGCCCCCACCCCCAGCTGACCAACAAGATCGTGTTCGTGGTGAGCTTCGTGGGCAACCGTGGCACCTTCATCCGTGGTTACAAGGCTATGGTCATGGACATGGAATTCCTATACCACGTGGGCTACATCCTCACGAGTGTCCTGGGCCTCTTTGCCCACGAACTCTTCTACAGCATCCTGGTGAGGCTGCCGAGGTGGGCGGGGCAGGGTGGCTGGGGTTCAGGCCTCAAGAAGTGGGCTGTCAGGGACCACCCCCACCCAACCCAGCCTGGCTCTGGGGGCCGTTCCAGCCCCTGTCCGAGCCACCTCTAGTTCCATGTACCCTGGAGCCAGCCCGCCCGAGTCTGGGTCCCAGTGTGGCCACTATTGGCTGCGAGATTTGGAGCATGTTTTAGACTCTGTGCATCAGCTCCCCATCTATAAAGTGGGGGTAACGTGCCTCCTGCCAAGCCTGTGAGGACAAATGAGCGCCTCCTGGTGGGCAGCGGGAGCTGGCATCCCTTCCTTCCCTCACCCCACCCCCACCCATGTCCCATTGGCGCGGCCATTCCTTCACCAGCCTGTGGAGGAAGCGGTGGTGAACCTTGGAGCTGGCTGGCCCCCCTCATCCCCATCCCCACCCTGACAGCTCTTCGACCTCATCTACCGCGAGGAGACGCTGTTCAATGTCATCAAGAGCGTCACCCGCAATGGCCGCTCCATCCTGCTGACCGCCCTGCTGGCCCTCATCCTGGTCTACCTCTTCTCCATTGTGGGCTTCCTCTTCCTCAAGGATGACTTCATCCTTGAGGTCGACCGGCTGCCCAGCAACCAGTCCAAAGGTCTGGGAGGCCTCCCTCGGGGCACACAGGGTTGGGGGCACAAGTGACCACAACAGGGTAGCACCTGTCCACCACGAGCCTTGCCGCAGGTTGTCCTGACCTGTGCGGTGGCTCAGTTCCCACACCGATTGCCTCTCGTTCCTGGGACACACCAGAGTCTGTCTCGAAGCCTGTCGACCCTGTCATTCATGCTCTGCTGTGTGCCAGGCTCGGGCTCGGGCTCTGGCTTAGGGAGCCCTCCTTGCCCTTGGTGTGCTGCCCATGGGAGCTGAGGCTGCAAGACCTGCACCTGGCCAGACGAGAGTGGGAGTGGGCTGCATGAGCGGGGGCTTTCTGGGTGCTGGGAGGGTGGGCCCGGGTGCTGAGGGGGTGACTTGGCATTTGGGGGTGCTATGTGACTGTGTCCCCTCCAGCCAGCACCCTGGGGATGCCACGGGGCGCCGCTACGTTTGTGGGCACGTGCAGCAGGGACACGACGGACTGTGACTCCGTCTCGGTGCCCGAGGTGCTGGGAGGTGAGTGTGTGTGTCAGTGTGTGCGTGTGTGTTTGGGGGGCACACCCCCCCCCACTGGGGTACGAGCATGCACTCTGTCACAGGGGACGAGGAGCCGGCGAGCACGGAGAGGGCCTGCGACACGCTGCTCATGTGCATCGTCACGGTCATGAACCACGGGCTGCGCAACGGGGGCGGCGTGGGCGACATTCTCCGCAAGCCCTCCAAAGACGTACGCCCGACCCCCAGATCTGTCTTCTCTGCCGCCGTTTCCCTCCTCCCACCGGCGGCCGATGGAGGGCGAGTCTGCTGCTGAGACAGACACACTGGCTGTCTGGGGGCGGCAGGAGGTCCAGGGGGGCTGAGTCTGCTTTATTAGGAAACTTCGCACTGGGCTTGGGTTGCCCGGTATCCCCAGAAGCTCAGCCCGCCCCAGTCGCATGGGAATGCAGTCTCTCCCGGCTGACCAAGTTTCTAGAACTTCTCAGAGTCCAGACCAAACTGAAGTTTGGGACAGCAAACAGCTCCCCACCAACTCCCACAGGGCATTGTTGCTGGCCGGCAGCCTGGCCTGGCCAAGCCCGCCTGTTCTTAAGTGGGGTGCCCGGCCGTTCCTGCGCTTTGGAGCTGGGTGTGGTGTGTACCGTGCTGTCTTCCTGGCCCCTGAGCCCAGGTGCCCCTTGCTGCCCACGCCCTCGGTCCCAGAGAATGGGGACCGTGGGCCCAGTCCCCTGCCTTGCCTCTGCAGGAGTCGCTGTTCCCGGCCCGCGTGGTCTATGACCTCCTGTTCTTCTTCATCGTCATCATCATCGTGCTGAACCTCATCTTTGGGGTGATCATCGACACCTTCGCTGACCTGCGCAGTGAGAAGCAGAAGAAGGAGGAGGTTCTCAAGACCACGTGCTTCATCTGCGGTGAGGCCCGCACTGCCGGAGGACGCCCTTCCCAGCCCCTGGACCCCGGGACCCTTCCCGATGCCTCCGGTGGCTCCTTCTGAAGCTGGGGAGAATGTCCCTTCATTCTCCGTGTGGCACTGTTCCCCATCCGAGATGACCTGCCCGGCCCCCCAGCCCCACTCGGCTAAGGAGGTGTCACTCACAGGGGACGTCCTCCCTCCTGCTTCCCTGGGTGGAGTTGTGCCCGCCCCAGGTCCTTGGTTGCCGCTGCAGGCGGCTGCAGCTGTGGCGGTAGGCTCTCCGAGGCTGGGTGGCTGGTGCTCTGAATAGCAGTGACCTCATAGCCCCCAGTGGGCTGTCGGAAGCACTCATCAGCCCTCTTAACATGAGGAGAGCCCGAGCCGCCACTCGTGCAGCACGAGCCTCGCCCGCCCTGTTCCCCCAGGTCTGGAGAGGGACAGGTTCGACAATAAGACGGTGTCCTTTGAGGAGCACATCAAGCTGGAGCACAACATGTGGAACTACCTGTACTTCATCGTGCTGGTCCGCGTGAAGGACAAGACGGACTACACCGGCCCCGAGAGCTACGTGGCCCAGATGATCAAGGTGCACGCAGGGGCTGCGACCGGCTCGCCCAGGGGCCCCAAGCCACCTGCTTCTGCAGCTGCACCAGAAGCCCTGCCTTTCCAGGGTTCCCGGGCCCAGGAGAGGAGTGGCCTCCTGTGTCTGTGTGCCTGAGGCTGGGGCCGATGGGCAGAGGGGACAGACAGCTGCAGACACTCGTGAGAGGCCAGCAGGGGTCGCTGGAGCCAGCCCTCTGTTCCGGGGAAGCCTGCCAGCTTCCTACCGCTGCCAGGGGGCTCCCTGCTCCTGTGAGCCTAGCATTGGTAGCGGGAAAAGCCCATTGTAAACCCCTCCACCCAAAGCCACGTGGGGGCCTCCAGGCCTGTGGGAGCTGGTGCCCTGAATGGGGCCTGCTGGGGGGTGAGATGAGGGCGGGTGGGCTAGCTCAGGCCATGGAAGAGCCTTGGGAATCTTAAGATCCTTGGACTCAGGCGGTGTCCCAAATCTTTGCAGTAATGGCGGGAGGAAAGGCAGTGAATGGTGGTTACACAGGAGTTTGGACTGGTCTCCGGTACAGGTCCGTGTGGCGGTCTGAGAGGCTTCTAGGTGGCCCCTTGCTTCCTACTCTCTTGCTTGGAAATGGTGGCTTTGTGGCTTGGACACGTGGCTGCCAGCCTCCTAATCAGTGTCCCTGGCCTAACTCCACCTTCCCGGGGCCTGTGGGGTGGGTGTCAGGGCCGGGTCTGCAGCCAGCTGGACGGAGGAAGGGAATTCTGAGCCTGGGTTCAGAGGCTGGTCCACACCAGTGCTAGGAGGTGGAATGGAAGCCAGTCTGTCACTGTGCTGTGGCCCTTCAGAGCCACCGACTGCCGGCCAGCTCAGCCTTTCCACAACACATCTTGGCAAGGCCTTCAGTCCAGGGCATGGCTGGGCCCGAGCCTGCCCACCCACTCACCAGGGCTGTGTTTCAGAACAAGAACCTGGACTGGTTCCCCCGGATGCGGGCCATGTCCCTGGTGAGCAACGAGGGGGAGGGCGAGCAGAACGAGATCCGGATCCTTCAGGACAAGCTCGGCTCCACCATGAAGCTGGTGTCCCACCTCACTGCCCAGCTCAGCGAGCTCAAGGAGCAGGTATGCGCCCACTCCATGCCCATTCTCCACCAGCCTTATTGTCACCGCAGCCCCCGCCCCCCGTTGGGCCTGCGACAAACGTCCAAACCCTCTTGGCTCTGTGGGAAGCTGGCCTCGGGTTGGCAACCCCTTGCCCATGCCTGAGACTTTGTGATACAGTTGGTGGGGGGGGACGGGACGCGGCCAGGGCTTACTACTTCCTCAAGGGGTCAGTGTTAGGGGGTGGAGGTTTGAAGCCTCCTTCCGCAGAGCCAGCCCCCCTCCACCTGGAGTTACTAAATTCGGGTTAGGCAACCCCTCTCAGGCGGGGTGGCTTCCCAGCTGCACCATATATTGGGGGTTTGTGACAGGCTAATTGAGGACATGGATGTGGGGGCTGGCATTCTCTTGGCACCCTGAGGGGCCCTGGCCTGTTGCCAGGACTGAGGAGCAGCTGGGCCTCCTGGCAAGGGGGTGGAATGCCCACAGAGGAGCATGCTGGGCGGTCTGACTGGGCCTGTGGGCACGTGTACCCTAGATGACCGAGCAGCGGAAGCGCCGGCAACGCCTGGGTTTTGTGGATGTCCAGAACTGCATGAGCCGCTGAGCAGAGCCACGAGGCCCACAGGGCGCAATGCTGGAGAGCCGAATGGGAACAACACTGCCCGCCATCGCGCTGGGGGCCCCGCTGGCTAGGTGCCCACCAGCTTCCGGTTCCCACTCTGCCAGAAACCCCCCGGAGCAGTGAGTTCTGATCAGTGTTGGGGGTGGGCAGGGGAATGTGGAGCCTGAGCTAGCAATCCTGCCTCAAGCTCTTGACAAGACTCAGAATGTCGCTGGGACTCAGTTTACCTTAGTGCCTTAGACAAAGATAAGTCCTGGAGACTTTTGTCCTTGAAAGCCGTAACTCACATTCCCCTCTAGTCCTCCTTGTGGGTGATCGGAGTGGGTCTCTCTCCAAGCACTACATGCTGGCCGCTACCTGCTGCTTGGGTAGATGGCAATAATGCTGTTACTAGCAACTTTAGGCCTTTGTTGTTTAACTTATTCCAAGGATGTACTCCTCAGCCCTGCCCATCTTCCTCTCTGCCTAGCCACGAGGGGCCTGGTGGCCCCAGGAGGGAGCACCTCGCTCCTGTAGCTGGCCCTGTCAGAGCAGGGGCACACCCAGGTGACAGCTTGGGTGTGTTAGATCTGGGTCTTTCATTTGGGGGGTGAGGGCGGGATGGGTTGTTTCTTCTTTTGGTGTAATGTTCTACAAATCCTCCTTTGGCCTGAGAATATGTTAATTGCCTTAAATAAATTAATAGAAATCTAGTTAATTAAAACAGTCCTCTTTCTGGGTGCTTCCCAACTGACCCAGGCCTGCCTCTGAAGCATTCCTAACCAGGGGACCCTGGATGGAAGTGCATTTCAGTGAAAGTGGTTTCCAGTGTAGTCCCGCACATCACGTTGTGCATCTGAAAACATCCTGAGCAGCCTAGGGCACAAAACAGGTAAAGACCACTTCTCTCTCGCGTATCCCCTGGCAGATGCTGTCCGACGGCCTGAGGAAGGGGGGACAGAGACCCAGCTGAGACACTGCCCAGAGCAGGGTCACTCTGGCCTGTTCGGGGCTTTGCAGGCCACCTGGAAGATGGGGTTCTGCAAACCCAGGGCCGGGGACAGAACTACCTCCTCCTCTAAAGCCCAGGACCAAGGCCCAAACAGGATTTTCCATCCTCCTCCTCCCACCCTCCCACCCGCATGGCTTTCTGTCTGCAACAGGATACCTTCAGGAGTGGCGGCTTCCTCCCAGGAGCCCAGACAATACAGGGGAGTCTGAGAATCCGCCCCGAGACGCCAGCCCCTGCTGGTGAGGTGGCCGTGCAGGAAGCACCGTGCCCATACTCCCGGGCCCAGACAGAGAAGTTTCCTCTCCCAGGGGGTTTCCCTACGCTGCGCAGGGCCCTGCAACGCCCAGTCACCCCCTCCCTTCGTGAAGGCCAGGGACACTCTCAACCAGGAGGCTGGGGGGAAGGCAGGGCAGTTTTATTTACGACAGGTACGAGACCCCAGACTTAGGGACGTGGGTGAGACAGGGACCTCGCCCAGGCCTTGTGCTTCTCCTCGGGACTCTTGGGGGCAAACTTCTCCTGCAGTCTCTTCCACATGCCTTTATTCATTTCTTTAAACTCTTCCAAGGTGTCTGCAAAAGGGGAAAGACCACACAAAGAAAGGAAAATGGAAGTCTGGACTGGCTCCATGGACTGGCCTCCCAGGGCCGCCTCTACCACACAGCATGTTCTTACAGGGGCGGGGCCACAACTTCTGACAGGCAAACCAAACAGGGGCCCTGGCTGCTAGCACCTTGCCCGAGCACATGAGGGTTTCTCAGCCTTGGCATTAGGCCATTCCGTGCGTGTGTGTGTGTGTGTGTGTGTGTGTGTGCGCGCGCGGAAGAGAGGGAGGTGCACTGTATGATGACAGCACCCCGGCACTCGCTTCCCAGCATACCCACCCAAATCGCCTTCGGGCATTGTCCCATATCCCCCCAAGGAGCCAAGATTCCCTCTGGCTGAGAACCACTGGTCTAAAGGTTTCTCCAGGGCCGACCTTCCGTGACACCAACATGTCTTTAGGGTTAGATGCCAGGATCTGGGCCTGTTACACTTGGGAACACAAACAGCGACTTCCACTGTCCATTCTCCGTGCTAGTCACCGACAGACTCCAGGGCGCTGCACAGCCGGGCACTTGGGGCCACCTCTCCGAGCGCCCTTTCCTGCGCCGTCAGAGGAAGCATTTGGGAAGCCCCTTCCACATGGTGGCAATGCAAATGAGGCGTGCTGTGAGAACAAATGATCAGCAGATTCCTGGAGCTGAACTCCCAGCCTGAACAAGCTACAGCCAGGACCAGTGGTGGGGAGCCGCCGAGGGGAGGGGCATCCAGAGCTGACTCCCATTCTCCGTGCATGTTCACACTCTTCCCAACTCTCCTGGGGCCTCCGGTCAATAGCCAATTTTGGTGCTGGTGATTACGGGGGCCCAGGACCTGAGGAGCGAGCCATCTATACATTTTTAAAGAGAACTGACAAAGCAATCCTGTCGGACCAGAAGAACCTCAGCCTGCTGTGCCGGAGAGCACTGTGACAGAAATAGGGTCAGAGTCGACACTCAGCAGCGGGTGACACCACCAGGCTTTGATCTGCTCAAAGTGCGGGCGTCTGGAAGGTCAGACCTACAAAACCGCGCTGCGAAGCCTGCCTGCCAGAGGCACAGCACAGAGAAAGTTTTAGGGCACCAGAAGGCTCCATGCCCTCCCAGAAAAGGCTAGCCTATTTTTGTATACAATATTCTTGGCAATAAAAATAGTAACTTTCCAGAACCTGCCTATTTCAGCCCTGGCTCCCTGCTGCCCGCTTTGGCGGGCGACAATGGAGGTGGGAAGTAAGGAGAGGAAGGCCGGGCTTGGCCCGCTTCCTTTCTTGTTAATCAGGCTCTAACAACGATTCCAAGCACCTAGCTCAGTCCCTATCTGACCCACAGACCATGTCCCTGGGGTCAGATAACGCGCAAGCGGATACCCATACCCGATTATTGAATGCCTTTTTGTTTTAATTAAAACCCTCATTGTTTATAAGGCCCCCTCAGGACCATAAAAATAAAATTATTTGCCTTTCATCCGGATTTCAATGACTTCCATTTGGCAAATACATATTCCCCTGTTCCTTGCTGCCCAGCCTCGAGTTTAAAAGCACTAAAGATGGATTTTCTGTTTTAAATAATGTCTTTGACCTTCTCCACATTCAATGGACAACAAGAATGAGACTTGTCACGTCAGAATTTCCTCTGGGCTATTCCACAAGACTTTCCATCCGAGCAAAGCTATCTGATTAGACAAGTCCCCTTCGCAGTTACAATGCAAAGACTGTTCTGCAAACCGACCAGGAAAGGACAGCAGGCCCTGCGATACCTGTGGACAGGACGAACTTGTACTCTTCCAAGGACAGGCCACTGAAGCTTGTGTCTCTGGGGCGAGGGTACTGGTTACACACCCGGCGGGCGGGGGTCGAGGGGAAGAGAAGGAAGAGACCATTAATTCAGCACAGGGCTTTGAACCGCCTTGTTCTGCGTCAACCTCCTCCTGAGCATGTACATGGAAGCAGAGCCTGCATCCTAACAAGACTCCCCAATGACTCTTGACAGCCACCTGCTGAGGTAGGGGTTCCAGTGGTGTCGTGACTTCCCAGTTAGGCTACTAACGGCAAGGTCAGCAGTTTGATCTCACCAGCTGACCCGCAGGAGCAAAGAGGCGGCTTTCTGCTTTCATAAAGACTGATGGCCTGGGAAAGCAAGGGGGCACTTCTAACCTGCCCCGTAGGGTCATACCCCATGGCACTGAGTAGAGCCTCAGGTGATCTATCAATGCAGATTCCCAGAAAGGGTTCAACCAGAATGAGCTGGCTTCAAGGCCCTGACTCTGCACCAAGACCCTCAGAGCTAATGGTTCTCCATTGTCCAGGGCCTGGGGGGAGTGGTGGCATGGAGGGACCAGGCTGAGGTCAAAGACGTGGCATCCATGGGCTGGCGACTCAACTTTAATGAGCACACAGTCACCCCTGTAGATGCCCGTCCAGATCCTGGAGCTTGGCCAGGGGCTGTGACTCTGCATTTCTAGCTAACACTCGGGTGATGCCCAGCTGGCTGGTCCAAGGACCACACCGAGTAGCCAGGGTTTAAAAACAATCCCTTTCCCATGCAGGCCAGACACTCAGCCTATTTGGGGAGTCTTGGGCACATTTCTCAAACTGGGGGGG